CTCAAAAAGCTAAGTCCTTCTTGTAGTACACGCCCTCCCTCGCTGAGCCTGGCACACAGGCTTGGTTACGGTTCAGGGATCGTAGCATGCGCAGCCTTGCCCATTGGTGCCAGGCCGAGTGTGTTCCTCACCACAAAGCCTCTCCAGGCCAGCATGGGGCGCCTTTCCTTTCTGCTTGGCTCCTGGAACTCGGCCCACAGGCTATTTACATAAATATGTTTGTAACAGACATGAAAATAGAGACTTTTTTTGGACTTATTAAAACGTTCAAGTTGGAACTCGCCTGTTGTTTGTGGATATCTCGATTCTGTTAAATAAAACAGTGACTAATTTATGGGATAAAACACAAGTTCAACAAATTAAAACCATTATTGGAGCTTCACAGGCCCTGGTGGGCTGTGCTGCCTCCCGTGGGGCCAGTGGGGAGGCAGGGAGCCAAGTCACAAGCTCAGCTGGTGATAGGCTGGTGGGTGGTGTGGCCACGGGGCTCTTTCTGGGCACAGCACAGTAGTCATCAGGGCAGGGCTCAAGGCGTGAAAGCAGTTTTTGAGGGGGCCCAGGAATTTGGCAGTTCACTAATCTCGAATGTCCCCCCAAATACCCCCGCATTTCCTGCCCTTGGGCTTTCTGCTCCTGGACAGAGTCAGGGAATGGCGGGACCAGCATTCTAGCCACCTTCAGGCAGTGCCCAGGTAGAGGCACCAGGTGTCCCTCCAGAGAATGGGTTACTGCCCCTGAATGGCCAAGGGCACACACCCCTGCATCAGGTCCGCGAGCCCACTTAGATGAGGTCCTAGCCCTACCCCTAGAGCCGGGAGGGGAGCTAGCTGCTGTGGGTGGCACCCACCCCAGGGCCCAGGGCCCATGGTGTTCCCTGTGGCCTGTTGGATTTGGTACAAAAGGCTTTAAAACATGTTTTTGTTCTGGGGTTTAATTAGCTGTGGTGGTGTGATGCTTCAACACCCAAACTGGGGCAAATTCAAGAGTTTTGTAACCTCGAGGAATGAATGAGAGACAGCTGTGCAGGCGCACAGCTGATCTCAGCAGACAGTCTCCTTCTCAGACAGGGCTGGCCAGGGTGCTCTGCATTGGGACCGGCTGCTAGAGTGGGCCTTGTCTCCAGCCCAGGGAGTACACGCGGCACTAAGACAGTGTCTTTGCTGGGCAGTATATCCAGGCCATTGGGCAACACAGGTGTCCATTCACCATCACGAGAGGTGGTCCTGGCTCTGCAGATGTCCTGGCCCAGAGCCAGGACACATGGATGAAAGTTCTGCTGCCTAAGGACAGGTCAGACCTCCAAGAAGCAAGGCCCTAGAGTGCCGGAAGCCCTTGCAGAAACGAAGAGGGCTACCTGTGCCATCCTTTCTGGCAAGAGCTATCCCAATCTGGAAGCAAGCTGACGGAAAGTGACTTCCAGGATGTGGAAGGTGGCCGCTTGGCCTTTTTGGGGTCATGTCATTAAAGGGTTTCCACACCAAGGAATTTCCCTGGCCCTGCCTGCTTCAAAACTTCTAGCCCTTAGCTTTGCCTGAGCCTCTCGATGCCAACTCTGTGTCCTGTGTGTAACCAGGCCCCTTGCACTGGCAGCGCCCTGCCTGGAGATGACGACAGTCGGGTGATAAGCTAGCCAGACATCGAGCTGCCCCCCTCCCCATGTTACCATAGCTTCATTTAGGTTCCGTGGAAACCACGGTCCGAGGGAGGGGCTGGAGTGACAGCTCGGTTGGAAAAGCGCTTGCCCTTCAAGTACCAAGACCCAGTTTGACTCCTAGAACCCACGGGGAAATGCTGGCATGGTGGCACACCCTTGTAATCTCAGGGCTGGGAGGCAGAAACTGTTGGATCCCTAGGGCTCATGGCCAGTCAAGCCTGACTGGCGTGCTGCAGGCCATTGAGCGATTCTCAAAGGAGGTGGACAGCTTTCCTACGATGACATCAGAGGCCATCTCTGCCTCCATGGACACATTCACAAATGTGCGCACACGCACACACAAAACCCAAAGCAGTCAGCCAGAAGCAGCCATAGCTCATAGTCCACAGCCACGGCAAGAGAAATGGCCCCGTGCCAGTGTGCCATGCTGCTGTGGGCGTGAGTTCGGACACCAGTGCATTATGGGAATTTCCCACTTAACTTTTCAGCTTAGGCTGGGTTTGTTGACTGTACTGTTAAGTGATGGAATGGCTGCATCTAAAGCCACGACCCTACTGTTCCACTCCTTTGGGCTTCTTTACTCTTTGAGGGTCTCTCCAGAGCCTGGAGCTCCCAGGCTCAAAACACATTTCACTGCTGCAGCCTCTGGGTAGCTGGGGTTAGAGTCACAAGCTCCTGGACCCAACACCCCGTCCCTTTAAAATCTCCCCAGGCACCTCCTTATCAAGCTGCAATAAGCACACCAAGGGAAACTATACAGACTCGTTCATATTTCAGGTAATGTCACCCAAAAGGCAGGCTGAACTCCCAAACTCAGTGTGATGAGGAGTCGTGCAGTTATGACCTGAGAGTTGGGCTGTGCGGGCAGGGGTGTGGAAACAGCAGGCCCCTGTGGCCACGTTTAATGTGTGCAATGGCATGGGCATGTTACCTTGTGTAGAGACCCTGAGATATCATCTAAGATACCTCCTTTAGCTGCTTGGCCAGACAGGGTGGGTCTGGAAGGGAAAAACCTGTGCCAGGCCAGGAGCAGGTTGAGGAGAGTGGCCAGGCTCCACCTGCCAAAAGCCCAGCGAGGCCTGGGCTTCGTGCCCAGGGAATGCTCCTCACGAGTGGGACCTCCCTAGTGCCTTCTCCTCTGGTGTCCCACAGAAGTGTTTAGACCAGCATAAGCAGCCCTGAACCCAGTGACTACAGCACACCGCCTCCTCCCCTGGGCAGGGGCAGGGGCAGGGGCAGGGGCAGGGGCAGGGGCAGGGCAGTCCTTTGGAGGAGGAGAGCCCTCGCCGAGACCCCTCAACAGCCAGTGCCTTCTCAAGCCTGGATGGGTCCCAGAGTAAGTAGGGGGTATGAGGGCCCCAAAGGACAATCACAGACCACTGTCCTGTAAAAGAGCAATTCACTCGGCACACAGAGGAGAGAGAACCCTGTCAACACAAGCCACAACTCAGTCCTCCCAAGTCACAGACTCTCCCTAACTATATGCATACTATAGAGAGGCCCAGGATTTTGGGTACAAACTTAACAGTCCCTTAGTGCTCCTTTCCCCTCCGACAGAACCTGGGATGCTCACCACAGACCTCACGACAAGCTCAGGCCATGCACCCCCTCCCCCCAGCACCCTTCCTCCCTGGGTGGAACTCCCCCCATCCTACCCAAGGTAGTTCCAATGAGTCACCCAGCACTGGGGGAGGCCAGGGTCTGAGGGGAGCTCATGGGGGGGGGGGAGACAGCTGGGCACAGTCTCCAAGCACTGGGGTTTGTCCTCTCCCAAACGACACTTTATAAAAAGGCATCGTAATTGCGTTTAATAATGTACTCCCTTCCAGAAAGGGCCTGACAGGCGCTGCCTGCTGCTCACTTCTGCCCCATTCCAAATATTTTTACCTTATTTGGATGAAATGCATTATTTTTCTAATGAAAGGCTTTTTTTTTCCCAAAGGGCAGTTTCCCCCGTCCAGCAGCCGCCTTTATTAGGCAGCCCTCACGCAGTTTTGGGGAGGGGCTTTTTCTCCCTGAAGTTGTGCCAGACTCTGTCCTCAAAAGCTGAAGCCAGGTTTCTGTCCCTTCCCCTCTGAGCTTGTGCCCAGGCCCCTCTGACCTGGTACCGCCCCCAGGTGGGGGAAATGCAGGGGCGGTGGGTGAGGCCCAGAGGACTCAGGTCCAGCTCTCACTTCAGAGCAAGCAGAGCACTGTGTGGTGCTGGTGTGGGGGGGCTGCCATGGCCAGCACTTTGTCCAGGCCCCCACTTTGGCTTCGTTTCTGTCCCAGGGCATCTGCCCTTCTAGTCTTTTCTGGTTCCCTTTAAGGGGACCTCAGAAATTACAAAGAGTAACAAATGGTCACTGAACCAAAGGGGGCTGTGATTGCCTAGCAACAATGTTCCCAGGATCCCCGTGTCCCATTCACTAGAGGGATAAGGCCCAGCCCTCTGATGGCCCATCTCAGGTCCACCCACCTGCCTCCTGACACTGGGACTTCCTGGGGCTCCTGGGAAAGCAAGGACCCCCGGCCATGCAGGCCGGTCGTCCCCAGGAGTGAAGGAACATGGCTTCCCCAGGGACACGAGGAAAAGGATGAATGCAGGGAGAGCTTCCTCCAGGGCCCTGCTTCTGTCTGGGGACCCGAGGGTTCACGTGAGGTGATAAAGGCAAGACCTGAGACACAGCCAGAGAGATGGGAGGTAGGCATCTTCTGGTTCAAAACAGCCCGAAGCCACAAACCCCCTCAGCCACACTGGTATGCCCTCCCCTCCTTGCCCGGGACAATGGGGAGCGGTGACCTCCAAGGCCACTGGACGGGCGTGGGCCTTGCTGTACGGCCCCACCTGCAGGGTTGGCCATTACCAGGCACTCTACACTTCTCAGGACCACAGCACACAAGGCACACGGAAGGGATTCTCCACGGCTCCAGGCCTGGCCACACCCCAGTGAAAGGAACAGAGAGCGGCCCTTGGAGGGCGCGCCTCCTGCACGGGCTTTCTGGCCATAGCTCAGCACACTGTGAAGGTTAAAGGGAGACAGGGAGGGCTCGAGCAAGCGGGCAAGCGAGGGACGTAGAGCACAGCCAGGCTCCTGGGGAATGTGCATCCATTTAAGGAAGGCAGCTCATCCCACAGCAGCAGGCCTATATACAGTAACAGTCCCTTCTGCTCTCAGGGGAATGTCGCCCTCCACAGACACCAGCACAAGAAGGAGCCCCTCCAGTTCTGGGTGAGCGACTCTGACAGGTCCCTGGGAGCCCTCGTCCCTCAGGGCCCTACTCTCTCTGGTGGTCACCCGGTAGAGCTTTAGCTGAGACCCACCTCGGAGACGCAGGTGCTAGCAGATGAGGTCAGAGCCAGGAGTTAAATATGGCAACTCATGTTTATTACAATTATGTACAGTCATATCTTATATTCTGAAATCTATACATGATCACATAAATGAACATGTTTCTCAGTGGGAAGGACAGGCGTGCCCGCTGGTCAGGAAGGCCCTGCTGCCGGCCCCACTGCACGCCTCGCCACCGAGTAGCCAAACCATGCCACAGCAAGCGAGGATGCCCTGGTGTGGGATACAGGACAACAGGGCAGGTGGGCTGGGCAGGTGCCCAAGGGCAGCAGCTGTCAGCCAGGACCCGGTTTGCAGAGGGCTGGATCCTGGCAGGTCAATAGATGAGGAGCAGGTCCAGGGCTCTGGCTTTTGGAACAGGCAAAAAAGAAGCCACAGGCCAAGCCAGAGCACAGTAGGAAACAGCAAGACCACGGGGCCACAGATCCCCCTGCACCGAGGTGACAGGAGGCGGGAGATGACATGAGCTCTGGCCATGCATGGTGTCAGGTAGTCAAGATACGCAGAGGACACACCTGGACAAGACACTGCCCGGGAGGGGTCGACAGGGGCTTGAGCACAGGGCTCTGGAGTCCTCCGCCTGGCCTTGAACAGCCAGAGCCACTGGGGTTGGGGAAGGTGTTTGGGAGGCTGCCGAACAGAGATGCACCCCACACTGCTGCATCTGAGGACAGCCTCACCACCTACCTGGGTGCCGGCCACCCTCATGGAGGCAGAGCCTCAATTCATGCCCCCCGCCACCGATGTACCGGGGCTGCAAGGGTGGGCAGGCGAGCGCCAGCCCTAGTCTCGCCCACTCTCGTTGCTGGCACCCTCTGGCCGCCGCAGCTTCTCCACCTGCTCATTGATCTGCCCGTCCCCGCCCCGCCGGTCTTCCCTCTGTACCCCAAGGACGCCTTCCTCATCCACATGGCCCACGTCATCGTCCTCATCCTCCTCATCCTTGTCCTCCCTCTTCTCCTCCTCACCCTGCACCTCCATCCTCACCTGGCCCTTGACATCTACCACCCCCTCACCCTCCTCTTGGGGGCCCAGCAGGTGGTAGGTGGCTGTGGAGCCCTCAGGGCTGTGGCTCTCCTTCCCAGGAGAGGATGTCGTGGACTCGTTGCTGACGGGGGAGATGTCACTGCTGCTGTGGTGGTTCACGGCCGCGGGGCTGGAGGGTGACGGTGACTTCACTGGGATCTGCCAGGAGGGGATCTTCGGGGCTGATGGGGAGGGGGGGAACTGCCTCCTGGCAGTGGAAGAGGAAAAAGTGGTAGAGGTTGGTGAAGGCATCCAGCGCCATCCACACTCCCTTGACCCCTGACCCCGGAAGGCTCAGTGAGGGAGCAGCTTCTCCAGGGCCCAAGGCAGAGGGCTGCACGGAGCCCTTCCCTCCCCTTCTGAGCGTAAAGCCTCTGGGCCCAGTGGAGGTGTCATCAGTGCCCCGGGCCGCCCTACACTGTCTAGTGCAGCCTCACCACCCAGGGCAGGAGGGCCCAACACACTCTGGGCCTGCCCCCCCCCCCCTTCAACACTGTCCCTGCTCCACTCCTGTGGCAAAAGGCAGCAGCGGGACCCTGGCTACTGGCCAGGCAAGCAGGGGCATTGAGAGCAAAAGGTGCTATCAGAAGCCTTTGCTGGAGACCTGTGAGCCTAAGGCTTTGACCGAGGAAAAGCCAGCTCTCCTTCTCAGCCCTGGGCCAGCAGCAGCCAGCCCAGACTGATGCCATCCCAGGACAGACCTGGGAAGTTAGGCCAGCACGGCCATGGCTCAGAAAGGACACTCTATGTCGCTAAGTGCTGAGAACAGGGCAAGTCCTGCTCCTGTCCAGCGTGGGCCGCCTGCCAGCGTGCCAGCGCCAAGTTGCAGAGTCAGCCTTCGACCCCCAGAGCCCACCTGGTGGCACACATACCACACCCTGCACCACTCGTCAGCAGCTGGACAAACGCACCAAGGGACTCAGTTTGTCATTTGCTTGGCTTCAGGGTCACCCACGGCCTGCATGCATTCTCTAGCCACAGAGCCACCTACCTTCTAGGTGTGGACAGCCAGAGACTTCTAAGAACAATCCACCTGCCCTGCCTGGATTGCAGACACCATGTCCGTCCATCCATATGTCCTTGACCCCCCCCCATCGTCATGTGGGAGGCTTCAGGAAACTTCTAGCCTAGGCTCATCACAGCACCCTTACCCCACCCCTGTCACCCCCTTAAAGCCCACCTTGGGTGTCATGGTCTTGCCCCTGGCCAAGCAGACATGCGCATGTCCAGACACATTCTGCCAGGGCGCACTCAGGCAGAATGATGGACATTCCAGCTTCCCGGCCACTATACTTTCAGCTTTTTGACCTGGTCACTTTCCAATAAGGGTTGCGCTGAGAACAATGTGCTGCTACTACAGGACACCAGGAGCTTCCCAAGGGGAGGTGACACACCTCTCACACCCTGTAGCCCTCAGCAGGCTGCTGTCTGAGACAAGACTGCCTGCTCAGGAAGAAGCGGCTGCCTCGTGCCCTGTGTGGCAAGGGTTCTCTGCCTCAGCAGTGTCTCTCTTACACAGTCATTTTATGTGACACTTAAGAACACTGTGGCCCTGTGTGAGAGGGCCCCTTGGGAGGGGAGGCAGGAGGCCTAGGGTCAGGCTCAAGGTCTTTATCTTCCAGCTCAGTGAGGGGTCCTGCTGACCTGTGACGGCTGGGCCAGCCTCACCCCCCCCCCCACCCCCAGGTTGACCCTGGACAGGACCGAGCCCTGAGCTTCCTCTCCTACCGATTCAGAAGAAGCCCTTTCAAGGAGTTGATTTCCGACTTGAGCTCATTGATATTCTGGGACTCCAGGATCCAGTTGGTTGATGTGGTGGCCTGAAAGTCAGAACAGGTGACATGGGTCACAGTGGTGCCTGCTGCCAGCCTGAGTCAGGGGTGGGAGGACCCTGGGTGTGGCATCAGCTGCAAGCAATTCTGTGTCCCACTCTGCCACTGTCACATCTGCCTGTGACAACACCCTACAATAAACAATCCCCAAACCCTGTCCGGGTATACAACGACGCTACGTCACGCATGTTCGCAGGTGGCGTTACAGTACCGTGTGTGAAATCTCTCCCACAGACACTGACATGCCCACAGTGGCAGGTGACAGTGTGTTGTGTGTGTGGGGGGGGGGGGGGAGCTGCTGTAGCCAGAGAATCTTCCACTTGTGTTAAATATCTGAAACTTCCATTTCAAGCACCACCAACAAACACAAACTCTACCTCTCAACAACGAACGCCCCCCTAAAACTTCACCTTCCCCAAGAAGTCAGCGCTAACCAGTGAGGGGAAGCTTCGGACAGTACAAGGCTGACGGGGCCTGAGCGCCTGTGCTGTCTACAGCCCTGACTTTAAGCAGGCCAAGATGGCGGCCTCACCCTAATGCAGTCTCCGTAGTCTCCACGTGATCTCTGCCCCTGGCTGTGACCTCTGGTCTTCAGAGGCTTCCCAGGGTCAAAGAGGGCACCCTAGCCAAAGCCCACTCCACATGATCTCATTCATTCTTTGGGACAAATCAAAGCTGAGTGGAGAGAAGGAATCAACCTGCTCCCCACAGGGCAGGGGTTAGGACACCTTCCTACCACTAACCCTGGAGGGACCACACCTTACCGCGAAGAGGAAAGGTCGGGCAGTGGTCCACAAGCCGGGGCTGTGGGTGGCCGTGTGGTCTGTAATGCCAGCGTGTGCAGGCATCATGCGAGGCAGGGGCTCTCCCCAGGCTGCTGAGGGGACACCCCTGGCTCTTCCTTGCGGGCCATGGTCCCTGACATAAGGTGGGGGCACTGTAGGCTAGCCTAGACAGCCCACTGAGCACAGCCCTGCCGGAAGAAACCTCTCAGCTACCGGTCTCAGGAGAAAAGAAGGTGTCGCTCTGGAGGGAGCAGGGAGTGGCCAGGGTCCTACACATCCCCATAGGGTCCCTACTCCAGCAGAGCAGGCAGCAAGGCCCGAGAGCCACTGTTCTGGCTTCTCCGAGACCTTGAAAGCTACAGCAGCCCATTAACAAGGGAGCAGTTTCCACTCGCCGGCCACAAAGGACTCAGATTTCCAAACGCACATGGTGCCAGATGCCAGGATTTAGAAATAAAACCTGACATCTGGGGCTTTTTAGCCAGTCTCTTTAAAAAACAGTTGTAGCAAACTCACAGGCTTCAGTTTTATGTAGGTTTTTAATTACTTAAAGCTCTCCTTTTCATTTTTACAGTTCTCCAGTAGGGTTTGGAAGGCAGATATAAAAACTTACATTACAGCTGAGAAAACATAGCTGGACTCTTTGGTTTATGGGGTAGGAGGAGTGCGCACACACTGTGGGCCTGGATGCCAGGCCAGAGCCCTCCTTCAGCGGGGACAGCAGAGAAAGGTTCTGTGGGCGGGAGTGGTGACAACTGGGGACTCTTCTAGACCACAGCGGGCCCCAAACCAGCCAGCCCCGCCCTCCTTAAAGTGCAACACGTGGACTTCATCTCATGCTTAGGGCCTGAAAACAGTTTTCCAATTTCCGGAATGGCTGCTGGCCACGGGCAGGCCACAGGTCTGAGTGACAGCAGTCAAGTGGGGCCACGCTACTGTCCTGCCTGCTTTATAGTTGCCCAGAGGGGACACACAGCCCAGCAGTGGTAGCGACCCCAGCCGGCTGAGCAGGAAGAGAGACAGCCTATGTGTAAAACGGAATGGACGCTGGGAGAGGGCTCTTGGGGACCTTCCTCACAAGGAAGGTGGACTCCACCACAAATGCACAAGATGTTCAGTTCCCTGATCTGCAATGCAGCTATACAGAGTCTGGGGGACCCTCCAGGAGCAGTTCAGGTGGGATCTTCAGAGGTTCCCACGGACCCAAGAGATGCTGCCTCCCAGATCCCTTTAGCTAAGATGGTGCTTTGGGGATGATGCTGCCACACTCAAAGCTGAGGACCTGAATCCTGGGCTCTGGACCAGACAGACACCACGCTTACGCACATAAGCAGTGTGACAAAGTAGATGCTGTCACAGCTCCATCTCACAGACAGACTCAGAACGTGGAAGTGACTTACCTGTGCCCTAACAGCTAGCAAATGGAAGATGGAGGGTCTTACCCCAGACAGACTGATGCCTCAGGCTGCTGCTGAGCAGGCAGCCTCAGACGTAGGCAGCGGGGCACGGAACCCGCTTTAGTCATCCTACATGGCTCTACATGGCTCTAGCCTTTCAGATCATCTGACCCTGTGGATTCTGGGTTGAGAAAGCTGCCCACCGCAGGGTGAGCCCAGCGCCTTAGGTGGAGTGGGAACTAGTAGACTGCCCATGGTGCTCCTCCTGGCTGCCTTGACTTCTCCTCAGCCAGGCTGTGACCTACAAGCAGCCTTCAGGGGCATGCCTGCCATCAAAGGTCCAGCACCAGAAGGTGGCTTTCACCACTGCTGTCAGGAGGTGGCATAGGAGCAGGAATACTGTCCTTGAGGGTTAAATGCTACCCCAATGCTCAATGCAGTGGTGCTCCCTTCTTTACTCGGATGGATGCCATCAGCCTCTGAGGTTTCACCCTGTGACAGAAGACGGGGAGGACGGCAGGCCCGCAGAACACCGTATACAGGCGGAGGACCAGGGCTTAGCGCTAAATGGAGCAGACTTTGGCCTGGGGACCCAAGGGCCCAAAGTTAAGTACCTTGGCAGCAGCCAGTTCATGGGCCAGCTCTTGGACCTTCTGCTGCTGCTGTCTCAGAAGCTCTTGGACAGAGGCCAGCGTCGTCTGTACCTGAGTCACTAGGGAAGAAAGCGACATGTCTGCTAAGTTAGTGCCCAAGTTTCCTTCCTCACCCACGCCCCTGCAAGCTGCCTGCCTCCCTGCTGTGTGTAATTTATCTGTGCCTGGGGTGATCCACCGCACTATGTGTAACCAACCTCTGGTGTCTCTACTTCATCTCTGCATTGTGTGCTTGTCCGTGGTCAACAGTGTATCCGTCCAAAACCTCTCCCCTCTAATTACGCCTGGCTGTGATGTGCCTGGCTCTCTAGCTCCCACTGAGCTCCAGCCATTCATCTCCCAGGCCTCACAGTGTCCTTGGTGCTCTAGGACAGTGTCAGTCCCAGGAGGGCTCAGGTCTCCACCACATCCAGGAATGGGAAAGCCCAAGTCCCATCTGTGGCGGTTTGCCTGTCCCGTGCTGCCCCACTGAGGATTTGCCAAGGCCCCACCACCATGTAACCTGTTGAGGCCTGCGGCCACTGTGTCCTGCCTTCTAGGAGCAATGGTTCATGGGACAGATGAGTTGGAGGATTCCAGACAGCTCTATATAGGTGCCTGCTAGTGAGGGACAGAGACTCCTGCCTGGAACAGGTAGACCTCTTCCTGCTTCAAGGGTTAGGCTCACAGCGTCCACTTAGTAAACAAGTTCATAAAGGACAAAACCACCTCTGCCACAACAGGTCCCAGCTAATCTGGGCCATCGCTGGGGCAACGGGTACCGAGTGCTGTCCGTGTGGAGTCGATAGCAGAAGAGGTGGCAGGGGTCCCAGGAGCCACAGTAATCACAGACTCTCTTGACCCCGCATTGGATTCTTCCAGGGAAGGGGCAAAATCACTGAAACCCCCCTGAAAACCTCATACAAGCAGAAATTAAAAATGAACTTTACAGCCCTGAGAAAGGCTGTCATTTTATTCCCCTTATTAATATTCTGAGGTTGGGAGCCTTTCCGTAAAAACATAATTAATTGAGGCCGCGCCGACAGTAAACAAGCAATTTCAAATTAAACCGAAATGACGGCGGCTTCATTTGCAAATGTGAACAGATTCTCAGAGCAGATAAATGAAGTCACCACAGAGTGGAAACGGAGGGAGAGGGAGGGGCCGAAAGGGGCTGCGTGAGGGGCTTTGAGGGGTGACTTGATGGAGTCATTAATCTTTACCTGTCTGGGCCACGCTGCCACTCAGTTCGGAGAGACTCGCCGCCATCCTCTCCAGCTGCTTCCTGTCCTCTCGGCCTCCCAGGATGAGGGGCAGCAAGTACTTCTACAAGAAGGGACCGGGTGAGGAGGTGGCCCCTTGAGCCTCTCAAATCCCACCACCAACTTGCCCTGATCTTCTGCAGGTCACTCAAGACCCAACACAGTCCATACTAGAAAAAAAGTGCTTGAGAGAGTTACCAGGCTGTGGTACGGCCTCGTAAAGACTTCTATGGGAACAAGGGCAAAGACCAAAAGAAGGTGAGGAGGAGTCAGAGGTGGCTAGCATAGGCTAGGCAAGGTGTCTGAGCTGTCCCCAAGCTCGGGAGGGTCTCCCTGTGAGGGAGACTTCGCCCCTTAAACTTTCCTTAGATATATATATTTCTATGCAGCTCTTAAATTCTACTTTAAAAGTTCTAAGGAGAGACTGCAGAAGGGTGTGGCAGCCCCTGGCCCCAGTGGTGGCTGCTGGGGAGGACAGAAAAGCAGTGGTCACTGTTCCCTTTCTGAATCTTGAACACTTGAACTCTGTAAAGGAAACAAACTGTCTCAGCCATCCAGAAACAACATCAGATCTGAGTAAACACAGAATTACTGGAGAGACTAGAGGAAAACTAACAGACTTCTGGGATCATTGATCTCCCATGGTGGGAATAAGGCACGCACATCGGAAGCCTACTAAAGAGGGCACCTTGGATTCATCTAAACACCAGAAGAGGCTTTTTTCACAGGAAGCCAAAGCAGCTTAGATCCTCCCAGAACTGAGAGACAGAGGAGAAATTGCCCAGGACCCAGAAAGCCAAGGCTGCTGACTGCAGAGCCACCAGACAAAGCACCTAGGACCAGCCTCCCCATCCTTTGGGAAGTCAGGGGCACAGCTAGTCATCTGTAGGGCTTGGGACAAGGATGCCCACGGGTTGGTTGGAGGCAGCAGGTGTTAGAACAGAGGAGAGAACCTGTGCTTTGCCACCAAGCAGTTTGGGATCTGGGGACCTTCTGGCTCCCAATCCAGGGGGGTGGGGTCTGCACCAGCCTGAGAAGACACTGCTTCAGTCGGGCATACATGCCTGGCAGGTGCTACCCAGAGAGAACTTAGGTTTTTAGTCTATTTGGGTTCCAGACAGAAAAGAAGAAGGAATGTTCTCCATCGTGGGTTCTGTACTAGGGAAGAAAAGCAGCTCTCCCAGGCTTTGTGGGAGACCTCATTTCAAGAGACTCGAAGTGAAGCCCATCATTTAGCATATGCACAGAAGCCACTTCTATTCTGCAAAGTGCTTTGCAGCCACAGTGAGTTATTACCCACAACCGAGGGGAACTCATCAACTCAGCCTGACGTTTCCTAAGTACAAAAGTCAAGAAAGTCTCAGCTGCATAACCAACCCCCACCCCCTCCACCCCCTCCCATCATCCCCACCCTCCACCCCACCCCCATCCCCACCCTCTACCTACTTTCCACCCCCACCCCCATCCCCACCCTCCACCCCCACCCCCACCCCCACCCCGTTCCCGAGGCCAGAGCCCATGAGTGGAGAGTGCTGCTTCTACTCTGGCTAAGTCTCTTGTGCCTGGACAAAGCAAGACAGCCCCCTACATTTTTAAAACTTAAAGAAAACCACCAGCAGATATTGAAGACATTCTTGTGTCACCATTGTGATCAACATTTCAATGTTTCCTTTCTTTTTAAAGCAGGCTGGTGGCCAGTGTTCCGTGGAAACAAATGACAGTCTTTGTGTCACATCTGAGCCATGGTGCCACACCTCCTGTTCCCTGGGGGAGGGGGCAGGCAATGGGGCAATCATGTGCTGTTCACAGGACCTTGGTACTTGTGAACTCCGTGTTGGTGCCTGTCTGCACCTGGTGACCTGAGAGAGGCTGCCCGAATCACACAAGGCTCCACACCAGCTCAGAGGTCAAGAGGTCAAGTCCCAAGTCTGGAACACTTCGCTTCTGAATTTCTTATTCTGGCAACAGACACTACACTGAAAATTTATACTCTGCCACAACTCTGTCCTTAGCTATTATACGGAGTCAAAAGCTAAGAATCCACGAATGCAAGGTTTACACACATTTCGTGTGCTGCAAGTTACACTCCGAGCCTGGGGATTCAGGAGAGTCCTTAAAAAAAAAAAAAAAAAGGTGCCAAACCAGGATTAGTGGTTTAGTGGATTAGTGCAAGGCCCCAGAAGAGAACATGGCTTCTCTCCAGGGGAAGCAGGCCTGGATGTGGGGCCATCCTGGCTGTGCACATCTTATAGACTAGTTTCTCCCAATCAAGGCTGGGTCTTTCCGCTGATCTCATGGGAGAAAGTGTTTGTTGAATGCCTTCAGTTCTGCCGTGAGCATCAGCGCTGCTTTTGAGGGTTGGCTGACTCACAAGGCCTAGGGGAAACCCCGCGTGTATACAGATGCTAGCACGACCCACAGAAAACAAGAAGTGGGCTCTCTGGGGTAGCTGCAAATACCAGGGTAGAACAAGGGCATCCAAGGGGCTTCCCATGAGCCAGCAGGCAGGGAGCCAGCACCACTCCAGCACTGTCCTAAGGGCTGACTCTGGCCTTCACTGCAACCCTGAGAGGAGCTCTACAGACCATACCCAGCAGATGTGCTAATACACCTGACCTACTGAGGAACGCAGCGCCCCTGCCCTATCTTCAGTGGGCTCAGAACACCTACTGGGGCAGTTGGGCAAAACTGTCAAAAACCAAAGGCCCTCTCAGGGTTCACCATGTCCGCTCCTTTACTGGGTATTGTACCCAAAGCAAGAATACCAACGTGGGTAGGTACTTTCACACCACTGCAAAATCAGAGCATCAGTTCCAGCCCCATCTTACAGATAGACCTGTGTACTCTGGGACAGAGTCAGTTTCAACACACACAGCCAGGCTCCAGAGTCCAAGCTCTTAACCACTAGGTTGTTCTGTCTCTCCAATTTATATATTTCTCATTGGTACCAGGCATTGCCCTAAAGACCTGCCTTGGCCTTTAGGACATGTTGGGGTGGGGATGGGGGCAGGGAGGAAAGTTGAAGTCAGGGCCTGTGAGCCCCCAATCCACCTCAGCCACTGTGCTCTAGGGCTGAACATCCACAGTGCAGAACCAGGATCAGGAGAGATGGCTCGACACCAAACGCTTGCAGCCCCAGGGAGGCAACTTACCTTGTAGAGCTGATGAAAGCCAAATGCAATTCCTGCCATGATGATGGCCAAGGCACCGTAATCTCGCCATCGGGAACTTCCGGGGCCTAGTGACAGAAGGGAAAAAAATGAGTAGGAAAGCTAGGACAGGTCTCCAGCAGCCCTCCTAGGATTGGGAGTGTCTCAGCTGGCAGGCGAGTGAGACACACAGCTGTAGAAAGCAGCACGTGGCCATCAGAACATCTGCTCGGCTCTCCCCTCTTCTTCCCAGGTTCCCAGAACCATCTGCCGCACTTGAGATGGAAGCGAGCCACCTGACCATGAGAGCTGATGCAGCTGTGAGCTGGGTCTCCAGCCTTGGGGGTCAGATCAGAGGTGATGTGAGGGCCTTTGGCCTGGCCTATGAGGTCAAGGGACAAAGGATCATTACAGAGGCTAGTGTGTGCACACCACACAGAGAGATAAACCAGGGCCCATGGTGATCTGGGCCTCCCTGTTCTGCTCACTGAAGACACAAGTCTGCAATGACAAAGCAAGACCACTTCTCAGGGTGCTGAGGGACAGAGCCAAGGCCTGTGTCCTGGAGGCTCTGCAGAGGGGAAAGGAAAGGAAGGGAAGAAGGGGAGGGAGGGGAAGGGGAGGGGCCACCCAAGGACTAGCCCACAGCAGAGGGTTGGCACTGAAGGATGCAGAAGAGGAAGTGTTACAATCAGAACTCTGGATTTTAGGAGAAAGCTAGGCTAGCTCTGGGGCAAACTAGAAGTAGGGGACACTTTTGCAAGGGTCACAGAGGAGATCAGGGGTCAAGGAAGTTTTGGGAAGAGAGTTTGCCATTTTGTTGAGGAAAGTGGACTGAGCATCCAGTCCTCAACCCAGGATAGGCTCCTCCTGGCCAGTTCACACAGAACCGACCAGCACATACAGGCCTGCTCAAGTTTTTCCTTTCTATAATTGTGATCTGAAAACAGCAAATGGAAAATTCCAGAAAGAAACAACCCATAGGCTTCAAACAATATACACCATTCTAAGTAGCATGAGGGCATCCAAGCCACCCTGCTCTGGCCTACCAGGGCTCCACTTAGCTCTGTCTCGTGTATCCACACAGTATATGCTACTCACCGAGCACATGCCGCCCACCATCCTGTCTCAAGTGCCCAAGCACAGTCTCAGTGACCCTTACTTCACCTGACAATGGTCTCAGAGCATGAGGGCAGAGGTGCTGGTAATCTGAATCTGCCCGAGAAAAGCCTAAGCATTTCCCTCTGGAGGAAAAAAGTGAAAGTTCCCAATAAGAAGGGAAACACTAGCAAGATCACCTGTCAAGAAGGGGGGGGGGGGACTATTTCAGCACACTGCCATAGTCACACTTTGTTACTGTTGCTCTTACTATGCCTAATGTGTACTGTGTTACAGCTGTGTATGTAGAGTCCCGTCTCAGGCTTCCACTGGGGTCTTGGGCAAAGTCTGCACAGTTCCAGATAAGATTCTACTTGCATGAGAGAGGTCGGTTCTCTACCATCCCATGGATGGTTTGTGAGGGGCTTGGGTAAGTACTCTGGCCTGCTCTCTCCAGGCCTCTGGAACAAGGTCAGCTGGCCTCCTCTCTGGGGCTCTGCCATGAGGAAGGACCACCGTGGGCACACTTGGCAGTCTTGGATGAAACTAGGTACAGAGTCAATGGAATGGTTGCCCGCAAGGTGCCCGAAAGACTTGTCCAAAGGTGAGTCTGGGAGCCGGGATCCAGGAGCCAGGAGCCAGGAGCCAGGAGCACTATGGGAACCCTCAGAGGAGGGCTGTAACCAGCTTTGGTGTTTCAGAGAGCTCTCCTGCCTCTACTTCCCCTCTCCCCCTGTGCCTGCAAGCTCACTGGCGGACCTGCTGTCTCAGGACGAAAGGAGAGGAGCATGACTTCCATCAGGCTTAGTGGTGGGATGCCAGCATGCAGTTGGGGCTATGGGCATGTGGCCTGACCAGGGAAGCCAAGTCCCCATGACCTCCAAGAAGGTGAGGAGCACACCCCTCCTATCTGGGCTACTAAACAGCACTTTCAAGAGGCAAGAAGAGATTGAAAGAATGTACTCCTGTACTCATGGAGTCCACATGGGATTCCCCAACATGGCCCAGCTCATCTTGGCCATAAAACTGCAATTAACATAATGGCTTCTCCCAGCCTTCAACTCCCATTTCTGTTTTACATATACTGACAAGACTCATAGTTTAAGCATCAAGTAGCAGGAGTCAGTGTACTGTAAAGAGGCACCCTCTGCCACCAACAACAGCCAGAGCTCCACGTCACCCTTCCCAGAACATTTATACACATGGAAAGCAAGAGGTGCATGTCTGAGTCTCCTCTCCCCTCCCATTCTCAGAGTCTTCCCACAGCTGTCTGGTATTCCACACGACCTCCTTCCTTGCTGACACACAGACCCCTCCCTGACCTGTAACTGCACCACACATGCTCTCATACGGGCCACCAGAAAACCTGAGACTTCATGGGGACACGGGACAGAAGGAGTGCATGGCTGTGACTCGAAGAGACACAGATTCCCTCCATAGGGCTTTGCAACCCAGCCACCAGCCACATACACAGTGCTTGTCCCAGTGTGTGCTTTCCATTTCTACTTCAATTCCTTCCCCCCTCCTTCTTATGTAGCATGGATATTAGTCCTCATAAATGCCTCATCTCTTTTGGTTCTGCTTATGGTCTTAAGTGGCAAGCAACTCTCTCTCTCTCTCTCTCTCTTTCTGTGTGTGTGTGTGTGTGTGTGTGTGTGTGTGTGTGTGAATGTGCTCTTTTGTGAGTTCTGGTTAACAAGGATGTACCCAAAATCTGTCTGGACTACCCTGTGATGAAAAGGCCACCCATGAAGGCAAGGACTGCCTCGCCTGTCGTGGACATCCCTGTGTGCCTCGAATTCCCTCTAGCTCCACAGAGGCTCTGAGACCCCTCTCAGTTGGACCCTGGAATGTAAAGTCTCTGAGCCCTGCCCGGGCCTTTCCACAGCTCCTTCCTTCTCTTCTAGTTACCTTTGCTTTTCATACCAGAGGTAAAATCCAACCAACCTCTCGAGAGGGAGAAGCCCATTTTCAGGAGAAAAGTGTGGCGAAGGAGTGACCTTGCCACTCTTCGAGAGGGTCCTTGTTCCAAAGGGACATCTGTCCATGCAACCCAGATCCCCAGAGGACACCTTCCCATGGGTGCTGCCCGATCAGCAAACCACATTCACCATTAACCCTCAAACTGCCCCAGGCCACTGAGTAGCCTACAAGAAGGCAATTATACTAAGCTGGCAACCCGAGCAGACCCCAAGTCTGCTGAATCAGCTGCATTGCCACACACACCCACCCACCTCCCATGCTTGGACAAGCGCAGCCTCTTTCTGCTGACATCAAGACCCTGAGGCCAAGCAGCCTCCAGAGCTTGAGATGCGGGAGCTCAGACCCTGCACAGCTGTCCACCACGCAGGAGCTCTGCCCTCCCCAGGCCTAAGAAACACCTGTAGTTAGTTCCCTGCCGGCCCACCCTTCACCCTCACCGCCGCAGCGGCATTCCTGCTAGGCTCTCACTAAGAACATTTTATTGCCCCTTGGTTTTCATTATTAATGAAAAGGGACCGGAATGATCTTTCCTAAAGTTCAGGGAGTCTATAAAGACTAGAAGCTGAAATGCCATTTTACTCGTTTTAGAGATGTGTGATACAATTCTGTCTGTGGCAAAATGAAGAGAGAAAAACTCAGATGCAAACTCCTCTTTTAAAACGGCCACATGGCTCCCAGGGTGAGAGGGCCCACCGAAGCTCACACACTGGCTCGCACCGCCAGCCCTCACCAACCTCCAGCCTCCTGCCCACACTAAGGACAGGTTTTCCTGAGGCCAGCGCATGCTCCTATCATGCACTCCAGTGTCCAGCAGTACAATACAGGGCCAGCAGCCTGGTGGCTCCGGGTGGGAAGGAAGATGAAAAAAGCTTTTTTAAAAAAAAAAAAATTGCTGCATTTATTTGTCTACTTACATGTGAACAACAGCATGAATGCACACGTGGAATGCACACGTGTGTGGATGTCAGAGGACAGCTCTCCTGAGCCTGCTCTCTCCTTTCACCATGGGTCCTAGGGATCAGACTCCGGTCATCAGGTTAGTGGCAAGAACCTACACCCACTGAGCCGGCTTGTCACCTGAGTGAGCTGTACAAATGGGGCTGGAGAAATGCTCAGTGGTTATGAGTACATGTTGCTCTTCCAGAGGACATGATTTGGTTCCCAGCACCCACATGGCAGCTCACGACTGTCTTTAACTCCAATTCCAGGGAATCTGATGCCTCTGGTCTCCAAGGGCACTGCGCTAATAATATACAAATACACACACATAATGAAAAGTAATATAAATAAATCTTAAAAACAAAAACTGCACAACTACCAGGTGGCATGATCATACCTATCATTCCAGTATTTAGGAGGCTGAGGCAGGAGGATTACAAGTTGGAGGGTAGCCTTGGCTACATGACAAAAGTGAGCGTGAGAACGCCAGAGAGAGCAAGAACAAGAGTGCACTGCTTCTTGCAGACCCTGCCCGTGGACGGCTCTTCTCCGAAGGGGCCATCACCCAGGCGGAGGAATGGGGAGCTCCACTAACACCACACCCTGGGCGCTGTGTAAACGCATGGGACAGCAATGACCGTCCTATACACCTGCGCATCTCTGGGACAAACTGCTGTGGTGAAAAGGGGTAGGGTCCTTGAAATGTGACACCCTGTAACCTTCACCCTGCACCCTGTGCAGCAGCCTGGGGACTGAGGGCTTGTGAAGGTCTGCTCGGAGAGGCTGGGGTTGGGGCAGCAGCTGGGACACTGGCCATGGTGACAGGGGAGCATCTCCGAGGCTCTGCAATTATTCTCTGAATGTCACTAAAACCCCCAGCACACGGGAGCAGACAAAAGCAGGCAGGAATACACCAACCTGAGCTGAGGAGCATGGCCTCATCAGCTCCAGTCAAGGCTCATCAGCAACAGCCCTGGAATGTGGCATGTGATCATCCTGATGAGACAAGATACTCCAGTGACTGCCCTGGGAGAGCAGTGGCCCCGGCACAGGGCAGGGCCGGGGCAGA